ATGTGGTGCTGGGGGATTGAACCGCGGTCCCTGTGCTTTGCTAAGCTTGTTCTAAGTAGGTGCTTTAGACCACTGAGCCATCTCACCAGCTCCTTACCTATCTTTATGACATGCAATCAAAAACATAGTGAATGTGGCTGCTGGGTGTCATACAACATTAGAGACAGGCTTATAAGCGCATTACAGGGTCCTCACCCACCTTACTCATCAGATCTGACACCATGCGACTTCTGCCGCCTCCACAGAGCCAAAACAATCATGAAAAGTAGACGTTTCTGATTGATTCAGAACATCACAGCAGCCAGATCAGGGCAACTAGAGGCACAAGGGAGGACTTCTAGAACTGCTTTGGAAGGCGTAAGAATGAGGGGATGGGCATGGTGGCTCACACCTCTAATCCTAGCACTTGGGAGGCTGAGGTGGGAGGGCTGCCATGAATTCAAGGCCAAAAACATGGGATAAGTGTATTTGAAGTGAGGGGGAAGATTCTGAGGGGGATTAATGACAATGTCTTTTTCTATAATAAACTTAAAATTGACATTCACCATTATTTTTCTTTTTTTTATTGCTTTATTTTTTTTTTCTTTTCAAAGTTTTCACCATTATTTTTCTATCATACTGAATGTATGAATTAACAGGTCACGCTGTGCCCTGGCACAGAGGAGGGCACCGAGGGAATGGGGAAAGCGGCTTCCTGGTACCCACACAGCCAGCCACCTCTCCCGTCTCCTCTGCCTTCCACTCAGGCAGGCTCCTGGGGTCTGGAAGAACATCCGGGGGACACACAGTTTCTTCTCTCTCCTCCATGATGGACCAACACTGGCCCTGTGGGACAATTTAGACACTGCAGTGTCCACCCCTCCCAGCAAGGAAGGAAATGAGGAGTTAAAAGTCTGAATTTCTGCTCCCCTATCTTTGAGGAAGATGGAAGAGGTCACTTCTCCTGTATGGGCAGGGAGATCCGAAGAGTGGAAATGGGCTGCTGCCTCTCCCCTCCTGGCTGAGGGTTCCTCTTCTCCCACCCACATCCACGCAGCCACCTCCTCCCAGGAGAAGCTGGAGCAGGACTGGCTATGGAGGCCCGAGAGCAACTTCCGGCTACTCAAGGGTTGTAGCAGGGCTCACTTGAGCAGCAGCTGCTGTCATCCCAAGGACAAGCACGCAGGCTCCTGCGATGCTGATGTGAACAGGCAGTTAGGGACTGACAGGGCTGAGAAGTGAGGGACACAGGCCATGTCTGGGAAGTGCACCCCCACTCCTGGCGATGAAGGACCCACACTGAGCCCAGCCCCAGCCCAGGCTGAGCCCTAGTTTCCTTTGCCCCAAGACCACCTGGAGGACTGAGATGAAGATGGGGTTTCGAGCCCTCACTGCAGAGAGCTCAAGGCCCATTATGAGGCCCAGGGTCACAGCCCCAAAAGGTGCTTCTTTTCTCAGTCACATGCCTGGGGCACCTCCTATGTGCTGGGCCTCCAACCCCTGATTGGTTTCCATCGCAGCATATCCAGGGTGGTGCTCTATGCCCATGATGGGCTGGATGGTGAGGTCTGGCCCTGTAGCCTGGCCCTGTGACCCCCAAGGACATTAATCCCCCCACAGACACACTCAGATACACAACCCAAATAGTGGGCACACTGATATCTAGGCTTGGGTGTGGGTCAGACCAGCCTGTTAGATGTGCCCATGGTCCTCACTCCGGCCAGGCCCATGAGCAGCCCCAAGAATTAGCCAAGCATAGGCAGAAACCTGGTTTAAGGGACTAGGTGAGATCTGAGGTCCTTTAATACCCACAGTGACAGAAACACCTAAACTGAACAATGACTGACACAGGTAGACAGTCCCAAGTGGGACATGGGGCCAGTGGCACTCTAATTACAGGTTAGGCAGTGTCAAGAATCCTAAAGCATCTACCCCCTATCTAGGACACCAGGCTCTGGGCACTCCTGGGAGAGAGACCAGGACTTCACTTACCCCACCCTCATCACAGACAAATACCAAGAAAGCCCCCTCCCAGGGCTTCTGAGGGGGCTACTTCCTAGGTCTCCATGCACACAAAGTAAGAGAGGCTGAAGGTAAGGGACTGGCCCAGGCCCCACAGCACACTCACCTGCTAAAGCTGCGCTCTTGGCTCATCTGCTCTGCAGCCTGGGCCCTGGCTCTGGAGTCCCCAAGGAGCAGGGCGGGCACACTGCCAGAGGCCTGGCCTCTGTCCCGGCTTTTCTGGGGAGTCATCACAATCTCTGAGTACATACAAGTCACGCCCTTCTGGGTTCCCAAGCAGGGTGGTTGTGTACTGAGGGCCTCTGATAATCCCACCCCCACCCAGTGCATCTGCTGGGCCCTCTCAGGCTAAGGGGAATCCTGGCCTCATAAGGAGGCGGCCCTTCTGGCAGTAAGATCCTGACTTAGATGTGTCCAGGGGCACAGCCCTCAAAGACAGAGTGGGCTCCAGGTGGCCTCCGGGTCCCCAATCTGTCCTCCTGGTTCCATGCGTTAGCACACAGAAGCCCAGTGGGCAGGGTCCTCTGCTGCCACTGCACTAGGAAAGCCCTGGTGGCAAGAACTGACCAATCTCTGCCATGAAGACATGCAGAGCACGGGCAAGAGCCAAAAGCAAGCAGGCTGGCAGCAAGGTGCCCCCAGGCCTGCCTTGTTTCGGGCCATTTGGCCACACCCATAAGTCAGGCAAGCCCTAGGCAGTAGGGGCCTGCTCCTGTACAGAAACTTCGGGGCGAGTAGGAAACACCAAGGAATGCAAGGAGCCAGCTTCCCAGGTGGACGGTCCTGGGAGGCCTGTTCCTTGGCCCAGCGACATCACAGCTCCAAGCTTCATTTCCCCAGCTAAACATAGTTGATGGTTCCTGGATGGCTCAGGCACTGTCAAAAGAGGCAGGTGTGATAAGGTGGGCTAGGCAATGAGCGGGCTGCCCGGGCCTGGGGACCTTAAACAGAGGGGATGCCTGAACCTCAGGTCCAGGCAAATCCCAAAGACCACAAGCCAGCTACGTCAATATAAAGTTCTTTATTAATACTCAGTGAGAAGAAAGAGGTGTAAAAATACTTTTCTTGGGAGGCACTGTCAGGACTTGCCTGGCCAGGAAGTCACCCTGGTCAGACAGAAGGATCGCAGCCCTCCTGGAGGGCAGCAGGCCCCAGGGAGCAGGAGGGGAATGGCTCGGGCCTCAGGCAGGGATTGTGCAAATGCTGAGGCCGCATGGGGAGTGATGGGTTTGGGGCTCAGGCCCCGAGCACCGTGTTCCCCCCTGCATGGGCAGACACACATGGGCCAGCACCTGCCCACTCCGGCTGGAGGCACGCATGCATGTCCATGAAAGAGTGGTGCCTCTTGCAGCTTACATAGAGGGAAGAATGTGGGGTTCCCAGGCAGTGGCCAGAGGCTGAGGAAATAGCTTAAAGAAGTCTCTGGAAGTCCACCGGTGACAGAGGCAGGCACCAGCTCTGATCCTTCCAAGCCTCAGGAGCCCAGGCCTTCCTGCCTTCGCTGGAGGACAGTGATGACACTGCTGATGCCATCCTCAGGCACCTAGGGGTGGGATGAATGGGCAAAAGGGTGGGTCAAGGATGAATCTGGCCAGGACTGCCCCAACTTCCTGGCCCATCTGGTACTCCCTCCTGCCCACTCAGCCTTTGAGGCTCAGTTTCCCTCGAGGAGCCCTTATTTTGGCCCATAGTGCTCACCAGAGCGTGATCAAAGTTAAAAGTGCTGATGTAGTAGGCAGAGATGTCAGCAGCAGCCAGGGGACCAGCAATTTGGGCAACAATCCCACATTCATCTAGGGTTGAGGTGGGATACATGTGACTCACACTGGCCACTGAGGTTGCTTCTAAGGTCTTCCCCCCAACACCCCACTGCCCCGCAACACACAGTGGCCCTTACCGAAGCCCAGGGGCTGTCCACCAATGCGCACCATCCTCCAAAGCTCCCCAGAAGAACTGGTCAGCAGGAGGTTACTGGGGAACCTGGACAGGCAAATGGTGGGTAGGCAGGCACCTGTCCCCGCCCCCCTGGGAGCCCCCGGGAAGGTCCTCCTGCTGGCCTCAGTGTCTGCACCCTGCCCTTTCCACCCCTGGGGCTGGCCTGGAGTCTGCAGCCCACTCAGGGTCAGGGGGCACATACTTTTTCTGTGTCTCAGCATCCATGACGATGGAGATGTATCCCTCAATAAGGGAAAAGGCGAAGAACGGAATGGAGCTGGGTTCAGGGCTGCCCGAAGCCGCCTCTTTGGGGGCACTGGGGAAGCACAGCAGGGTGAGAAGTGCTATAGGGCACCCTGCCCCCCGCATCTCCTCACTGCCAGCCTCCAGACCCCAGCGGAGAGCTGGCATGGGGAGCTGTGGGCAGGCCCCTATTTTCAAGGCCTTGACCTCCTGAAGATGCTGGTGAAAACAGGGAGGAGGACATTGAGCCCTGCTCACGCTAAAGATGAAAGACCCCAGGGACAGAGAGCCTGATCAGGGCCTGGCTCAGGGTTGGCTCTGCAGGAACGGTCCTAGATTCAGGATCAGGGCTGGGGAGATGGCTCAGTAGGATAAGCGCTTGACTGGCAAACACAAGGATCTGAGTTCAATTCCCGGTTTCGAAAAAAAAAAAAAAAAAAAAATAGATTCAGGATCAGGGCCATCCCTGGACATCAGTAAAGGGCAGATGGGCATCATGGGCCAGGAGCCCGGAAACACGCGGCAGGGCTCAGAGTGGCAGAGGGACAGACACAACAGAGACGAGCAAGAGCATGGAATGGTGGTGAGTACAGAAGCTAAGCACACACACCTGTGTGAGTAGAAGAGGACATCGATGAGGGTGGTAGCAATGGCTGGCAGCGTCTCGGGGTCCACTGTGAGGACACAGAAGCGGTTCTTCGGGCTCTGAATGGGATGCACCGTGGGACTGGGCCCTGCTAGAGTAGAGCGCTCCAAGTAAAGACATTCATGGGCTGCGGCGACCCCTGGTGGCCAGTTGGGGAAACACCTGGGCAGGCAGGGGTCCTGTTCTCCCTACCGGCTCACCTCCCCTCGAGAACTGGCCGGTGTCTCCTGGTCTCCCACCACCCACAGTCATACCTGCACAAGGAAATCGCCCCCGTGGGAAGAGGAGGACTCGCCCAAGTTTGGGTGGCAGGGGGCAGAACCTCACCATGCTGGGTTCGAGGAAAGCCATTGCTGGAATCATCCCTAGCAACGGGCACAGGCTCCCCGCCCACCTCGCGGTAAATGTTGAACTCCTGGGCCAAAGTATGGATCACCACGGACAGGTCCTGCTCCCGCACCTGGGCCAGAGGCAGGCAGCAAACCATGTGGCTCCTCCTCCATGTCAGCCATGCCCGTCCTGCATCGAGTGTCTGCGGGAAACTCACCAGGATGAAGTCCGTCTGGTAAGTGGACAGCATCAGCACAGACACGTGGTGCTCCGCCAGCGGCGTGATAACAGAGCGCGCGATCTTGGTGACCCCAGCAGCCTGCACTGCCCCACCGCTATGAGAGGACACGTTCATCACAAGCCACGTGGCATCAGCCACTTGCAGGAACTCGGAGGGGGGCAGCTCTGTGGGCAAGGAGCACATGTGTAGTCAGAGCTTGCCGCTCTCTGATCCTGAATTTCCCTGCCTGCTTCACGGATGGTTCGAGCAAAGTCGGGGCAAGTCTAGAGACTGGGACCCTCTGTCCCTAGCTTTACTTCTGGAGTCTATCGGGATGAAGCAGCAAAGATCAGAGCTCCAGGCTCAGTGCTGGATTCAAATCCTGGCTTTGAAATTTACTTGCTGTGTGATGTGGGGAAAGTAATTGGAGCCTGTTTTCTCATCTGGGTCTCAGTTTCCTTATCTGTAAAATGGGATGACATATACACCATTCTGCAGGGTAACCGACATTGCATCACTTGGAACCACCAGGAGGCGCCAGAAGCTCAGGTTTGACTGTGACTGTGCTTTCCCCCCCTTAACAGCCTCAGACTTCCCTGTGGTTAATTGAGTACAAGAGGGGAAACTAAGGCCAGAGTGGAGGAGTGGGGGAACAGGCCAAGCTCCAGTTCGCTAGCCTAATACTCTACGCCTGTGAGGCTGGCAGAAGGGAGAGCCAGATGTCAGCTCCAGAGCCCTGGGCGGGACCAGGCTGGCGTCCAGTCCTCGGCAGGGGCCAGGGCGGCTGCTGTTCACCCAGCCACAGGCAGGAGGCCCTCAGAACCCTGCCCTGGGATGGCTGCCTGCTCCTGCATTCCTTCCCCAACCCTCCTGGAGTTCCCAAACCAGCAGAAGTGGAGCTGACCCGCATTGGAGGGATTATTTACAAAGAGAAATACGCCGCCCCCCCCCCCCGGGGGGAGGGGGAAGGAAAAACAATGGCAAAAGCTCTGACTCTTGCCTGAAACTGTAACTGAGACTCCCTAGAAGACGGTAAGTGACCCTCCTTCACATAGCTGCTTCTCACGGCGACGTTTTAAATTTAAAAGCCCCCCCCCCCAGGATCCTGTTAGGTCACCACCATAATTATACTCATTTTACCTAAGAGGGAAAACGATTTGCTCAAGGCCACACAGCCAATATGAGTGGTGTAACAGGATTTGAACCCAGACCCACGTCTTTAAGACCCAAGCTCTTGGATTCAAGCACCTGATGATAATCCTGTTAAGAGGGGAGCACGAGAGACCAACTCCCACCTTTAAAGCCCTCCTCGTCCACCATGAGCGTGTAATCCTCGGGGGTCTCGGTCAGGCTGAAGAACTTGCACCTGGTGAGGGACAGGGTGATCTTCAGCTTGGACGAAAAACGGGAAGAACAGGCGGAGCTTGGGGAAGAGGGTGAATGGACTTCGTTCCTCCCGTCCCAAAGGAACCCCGCTGGGTGCCCTCCTGCCCTTAGGCCCCGGCCTCTATTTCCTCACCCGAGCAATGGGGTGCTCCCCCGCCCCCGTCTCCGGGATCCAGGACTGTTTTCCACCTCCAAGCCTCCACAGGAGCCTCCCGCCCCTCTTCCAGAAGGGAGGAGAGGCTCCCACTCGAGGTAGCAGCCCGGACAGTGAGACCCCTCGCTGGACTCTCTGACCTGTTGTAAGCATCTGGAAGGAGCTCGCCGCAGTAGGCAGGTAGGCAGGAATGCCCCACTTCACGCGGCTCGGAGTTAAGCACTGCTCACTCCACGCTGTTTGCGCCTACACTGGTCCTTGGGAGGGGGCCCCACTGGGCGGGATAGGTGCGGGTCCCCGGGAGGCTATGCCCAGGCTAGATGACAGCTAACCTCCCCACTCGCTCCTCCCTCATCTCAGGGGTTCTAATCCTCTGACCCGACCCGGAGAGACAGTAAAACCCCCACCCTCATCTGCGCCCCCGAACCCGGGCGCGCACCGGCTGCGGCGGGGCAGGAAAAGCAGTTTGATGAGCGGGTGGGTGTAGAGCCAGAGACCCTGGCGGGCGAGACTCAGCACCCGCACCCGGTGCTCTAGGATGTGCAGCTCCATCGCGGTCCGTGCGGCGGGGGCCTGGCCGCTAGCTAAACCCAGGCGGGAGGCGGGGCGGCGGGGTGGCGCCCGGGATTTAAAGGAGCCGCGGTAAGATTGCGTCCACGCAGCCCGCTACGCCGCGGACCAGTCCCACCCGGCGCCCAGACAGACGTCTGGCTCCTTGATGGCCACGCCCCGCTGGGCCCACGACCAATGCGAGTTGGCTACGCCTCCTTCCAACTTCAGAAATCCGCCCCACTCCTACCAACCCGTTTAGCCCCACCCCGGAAGGCTCCACCCGGCTAGTCCTGGGTCGGGAACCACAGCGGGACCCTAAAGCCTTTGGACTTCTCCAGGCTCCGCCCTTCCGCAGGACTCGCGCCACCCTGGGTTCAGGTGCGTACCGGAAGCAGGGGTCACGTTCCTCCCTCAGGTACACACTTGGACAGAATGAAATCCTGAAAAAAGCCTACCAAAGAACTGAAACTGGGCGGAATGTTGGCCTGAGCCCCTGGAGCGTGGAACCCCAGTGACCCTACGTTTTACTCTTCAAGGTTCTTGCTGTAATGGCTGTGCGGGGGTAGGGCCGCCAGAGTTGAGGTGGCATCCCCAACGCAAGGCGTGCCCAGGATTGGTATTGATACCTCTTCCCACTTTGCGACTGGGCACTGACCAGGCCTGAGTGGCCCTGTTTTTCACCCAATTCCATTGTAGAAAGCGCCTAACCTCAGAGATGTGAGTCTTAGTCACCTCTTTCTGAGCAACACAATGAATGGCTGGGAACTGAAGGTGGCCTGGGCCTGAGCTTGAGGTCCCTCAATACAAACCAACTCGACAAGTGCTTGGGCTAGGAACACTCAGGACCAGGCTTTAAGGGACAGGACCATGCAGTCAGCCTTACTCAGTACTCAGACCTCAGGCCAGAGATTCAAGTTCCTCAGAGGCTGCCCCAAAGCCTGTGATGGTTAGCAGAACTCAACTGGCCTCAGTACATCTGAAGTGGCTTCAGGCCCTGGGAGTACCCCATCTGGCAGACAAGATCTTACCCAGCCTCCCAAAGGTCTGAGAAGACTCCAAGGCTGAGCAGGCATCAGCAAGCCCATGTTGACTCCATGACAGGACCAAGCATGCTCCAGAGGGCCTAGATCTGGCCCAAGTATCCTTAGGCCTCAGATCTAAGGCTCGGAACCAAGTAGGGTAGGCAGGTCTCCAGCGTGATGGGACCTGCCTGCTCTGGAGCCTCCACAACAGACAGATGGAAGCCTGGCTAAGCCCCATCCCAGACCTCTTGGGATTCCCATGGAACACTACATGCAGCCCCACATCCTGGCCTGTCCCCGGGAGGACTGGGGGAAGTAGGGGTATTTCTCAAAAGCTGTGCTCCTCCATGGCAGGTGCAGGTTAGGGTGGGAAGCCACCGGACGGGAAGAAGTGGATGGTCTGTCTTAAGTCTCCTATGACCATTCACTTTCTTAGGCCTGTGTCCCCAGCTGAAGCAGAAAACAGTGCTTTAGGCCCAGAGGATGCCTAAAAGCTCGCAGGGAGGCTCCGCTTCTCTCTCAATCCACTGCCCCCTCCCCCTGTGGCCTAGGCCCAGCTTGGTCCCCTGCCAGGAACAGCAGCTATTGTTTGACTGGAAAAGCTGCTTCCTCAGCAGAAGGGGGGCCTCTCCCAGGGACACCCTGTCCTCACCCTTGCGAGTGATCAGGTTGTGACCAAGCATCTGCCTGGCCCCTCAGTGGAAGAGTCAGGTCACCTGATCAAGAGAGGAAGCTGAATGAGGGGCTCTGGGTAAAAGCATGGCTCTGCTTGGGGGAGGGGGTTCCCACTCAACTATTTTTACCTGTCAGGCACATCAGACAACCAACTCAGCATGGCACGTGGTAAGTGTTCAATCAATAGAAGGCAGCATTTATCAAGGACGGAGACTTCTTCCCCTCATCCATCTGCATGCCCTGAGCACGAGGACCTTCATGGAGCCTTGCTCCTGATCCCGAATGAGCACTTAAAAGCTGACTCGGACTTTGGAAGGTAAAGAGCCTGAAGCCACCTCTTTCCCCTTACGGATGAGTGGATGAGTAGGGAGCAAGGCCTGGACAGTGGGCACCAGCCCTGGTGTCCATGGAGCAGAAAGATGGGGTAAGGAAAAATGGCAGACACAGAGGCTACTCCTGGACTTAGAAACTCCTCTGCCAAAAGCAATTCTCAGAGGGGTTCATGCTGGGCTGGGCCCAGGAGGAGCTCTGTAGGGTGTGGAGCAGATGCTGAGCACCAGGGCAGCAGCCCTTCCCTGACCCTAGCTGCACACCAGCTCTCTACACAAGCCTGTTTATTTCTGTACAAAACCAAGTTTCTATTTTACATGAAGAGCACGCCACATGCTCCCCTCATACCAGCACCCTATCCCTGGGAAGCATCCCCAAGAGAAGGGTGCTGAGTGAGGCCCCACCCTCTTGGCCCAAACTTCTGCCTGTGCTGGCTGGGCCAGCCTGAGTTCCACTCTAGAGAAAATAAATAGAGGCTTAGGCAGAATCTGTGCTGGGCCAGCCAGACTGTCCTAGCTTAGAGGCCAAGCAATTGGGCCCTCAGGTGAGCAGGCCCTGGAGTGTCAGTCCTCCAACCAGGTAGGTGTGCAGAGACCCCGGCCCAGAGGCCCATACTGCTGGGGTTACAAGTAGGTGTCCTCGCTCTCTTGGGAAGTCAGGCTCTCTTGAGAGTGGTGAAGGGTTAAGTCCTGGGGAGCAGAGTCCTGGGGGACTAGATCCTGGGAAGCTGGGTCTTTCAGGGTCACATCCTGTGGGGCACATGCATCTCCTCCAGCAGTCATTGCTGTGGTTTGATTAGGGATTGGGGGCTTGTCCAGATGCCCACTTGGTTTTGTCCGCTTCTGCTCCTTTTGAGCCTGCTTGGGTGGTTTGGGCTTGGCCTTGGGGCTGGGAAGAGGTATATCTGGGGGCAGACGGATGGATGGTGAAGGCTGCAGAGCACCCCGGGGGGTGGGCTCTGCATCCAGGATGGCCTTGGCACCATGCAGCCTGGGGGGGGAGCGACACTGCAGTTCACCCCTGGTCTCCTGCCAGCGCCGCAGCTGGATAAGATGCTCACGCTCAATCTGGCGCTCTGTTATGGGCAACTCCACCACCTGCAGGGGAAGTCAGAGAGATAAGCACCAAGAATGACCTTGCTCTTCTCCACACCCCCAAGCTGGACCCCTGCTTTCCCTGGCCTCGGGCAGGACAGAAATCTCCTAAGCTGTGGGCACAGGGCCCGGAGCAGAGTACCTGGTCAGCTGGACACAAGAGACCCACTGCCTCAGAGGAGGAAACTGCTCACAGCTCACAGGTCCACTTGCCTTACTGGGCAAAGGTGTGAGGCTCGGACAAAGCAACACCCACTCTCAGCCAAAAGGTCCCATTGCCAGGGGCAGCCACACAGATTCCAGTTCCACCATGTTCTGGCTACCGACTGGGGGGGGGGGGTGCCTTGTGTGTTCCGGCCTCTGGAAGCCTTTTCCTCATGTATAAAGTGGGCATAATGCCACGGCAGCTGTTGGAGAAGCAAGTGCACAAATGGCCACCTGCTTTTTCCCTGCACACCGCCACCATCCCTGCCCCAGCCTGGCTGCCCAGAGAAGCTGCCCATGCATGTTACCTCCTTCTAGTTGGAGAGTCAGGTATCCACAACAGAAAACAAAGCCAAGGCAATGACTGCAGGACCAGGGAGGAAGAGAATTACCACTCCAAGCTCCCAAGTGGCTTAGATAAGGACGGCCTGTCAACTGCAGTCTCTGTGCCCTGCCCTCCTCACCCAGACAGGAAGATGAGGCCCACCTGCTGTCCTGGGCTGCCAGGCAGTGGACCTGGCACAGATGACTCACCTTTGTGGACAGGGGGTTACCAAACCTCCCTCCCCACCATGATAAGAGGCAGATGGGGGCTGCACCTCCTGGACCAGAAATGCTTCCTGCATGATCTTGGGGCTGAGGCTCCGCAGCTGCTCGATGGTCTCATACTGGCCCTGGCAGGCTTTGAGCTTTTCAGGAGAGCCCAGCGCATGCTTCAGCAGCACCAGGCCCACTCGGAAGATGATCTTGACTCCTGCATGGGGAGCAGGTGGTGAGTGCAAGTGGGCCCGCTGGGGGGTTCTCTGGCATGTCCCCAGTCCAGCCTGGTACCTTCACAGAAAAACATGTCCCAGACGCGCAGCACAGAGCTCCAGGGCAGGGTGCGTGCAAAGGCACACATGAACCACTCCGTCATGTACAGTAAGGGGTCAATCTTCTGCCGACTCAGGTGCTTATGGGCCACAGGTGACACTTTTTGCAGCAGAGAGAAGAGGATCTCACCATCCAGCTGGATTGCCTCCTGGGGAGACAGCACACGTGGCCATGACCACTGCAGGCTCCCAGTACCAGACAGACATGTACTCATTCATCAGGTGGGTGTTGCCAGTGGGGTGCTGAGATACAGCCACAAACCAGTCAGACACAGCTGGTACCCCTCACAGGCTTACAATGCAAAGGGGCCCTGCACATGGGCACTGGGTAGAGGTGAAGGGGTGAGTGCCTCAGGTATGGCAGGTATGAGAACACTCAGCACATGCTATAATGGCTCCCAGCTGGCGAGGTCAATGAAAGCTACCCTGGGATGAAAGCTGAGGAAAAATGGGAGTTTTCAAGCGAAGGAGAAAAAAATGGAGCTCCAGGTAGAGGTTTAAGTCAAGGCTGAGGCAAGGAGCTACTTGGTGCCTGGAAGGAATTTCAACCCTGCCAAGTGGCCAGAGTTGCTGGGGACAAAGCTGGAGGTGAGTGTGGAACCAATGATGCCAGTGCCCAAGAGGCTTGCTGCTGGCAGGCAGGCTCAACAGGGGACTATTGAGAGAAGGGCCAGAGAGGACAGGCAGCCTGGGGTGGGTCCCACGTCAGCTGAGCACTCACTAGTTTCTCACTGTAGTAGCCAGGCAGGTACTTCTCACAGATCTGTACCAGACACCAAAAGGCTTGCTGTGGGTGAGAGAGACATGAGGCCTCGCCCCCATGGGTTGGCCCCCACCCACCCACTCCCATGGCTGGCAGTACCTCAGCAGGCATGTGCATGAGCAGTACGGCAGCAATGGGTGCCTGAGCTTGGCAGTAGCCCTCCTCTGGTCGATATAGTGTGTAGGCCTTCAGCACACGGAATAGGTCCTGTTGGCTGTGAACAGACCAGGCAGGGCAGGAATGACAGGTATGTGACTACTGTCTACCACCTCTCCTGTCCCCAATACAGCAGAACTGCCTCAGACCTGCCTCTGTACTTCCCTGGAGAAGGAAGAGGTCCTGCTTGTGGTATCAGGGGTCAGCCTCCCACTGTACCTGAGACTCTCACAGGATCAGAAGGCAGTAGAGAAGGGCTCCCCCACCAAAGACAAGGGCATGAGCAGGACCAGGACAGGACACCAGATATGGGGCAAGATGCTGGGAGCTGGAGGCAGGGACTCTTCACTGAACAACTTTGTCCCAGGCATCGGTCTTGGTCCCCTTGGCCACCTCAACTTTCTTGCATAGCCTCTGCTTACCCAAACTCCTCTACTGCTTTCACCCTGACCACCTGTTTCCAGAGAAGGCTATGCCAAGTCAGCTGTAGCAGTTTGGGGAATAAATGATGAAAGCTGACCTAAGATTCAAAGGAGATGCTCACAGCACTATCAAATGTAAACCAAAGAAACAAGAGTTTGGGGGCAACCAGTTACTTCTGGAGTCCTGAGATACCCTAATTCACAGCACCTGCTCACCTCCCTGAGGCAATGGGCCTGTATCTACCTTCCACCCCATAGGTCCGGCCTGCTCACCCATGCCCGCCCCGGGACACAAACATCTCATGGAAAGGGAACTGCCGGTGCAGGTCACGCTCAATCACGTCCAGCCACTTCGGATCCCCAGGAGACATGTCCAGTTCCTGAAACAAGGACAAGGGCACACATCAGGGCAGCACTCCTGGCAGGATATGGCTGTCCCAGGGATCAGAGAATCCCTCTGCCAGGGGCATTGTTCACTCAGCCCTATCAAGGGATTAGAAATGTGAAGAAGCTTGAACAGAGGCAAAGAGCAAAGTGAACAGCCCTGGAAAGCCTGGGAGGTGATTTGAGCTCCAGGAAAGCCTGTGTAGCCAAGAACATCCATTCTGATTGTGGTTGGACAGTTCTTAGTGCAGTGGTAATGAACCCATGGCCCATATGCCACAACCAGCTATTTGTTGCCAAAAGCTCTAAAAAGTTCACCATCACCTGCAATCCAAGCACTCAGGAGGCTGAGGCAGGAGGATTGTTGCAAGTTTGAGACCAGCCTGGGCTATGAAGTGAGCTCAAGACCAACCAGAACTGCATAGCAAGACCCTGTTCCAAAAGGACAAAAACAAAAAAACAAAAAAAAAAAAAAAAAAATTCACCACTGCTGTTCTAAGCCTTTATTTGAGACTTGGGACTCAGTATTTAAAGATGATGTTAGTCCTTAAAATAGAGAGCTAACTATTCAAGCAATAGGTACCACCTGTTTCTGCAGCTCAACAGTAGGTACTGAGCTGAGTCCCTGTAGGCCTCACTGGTTCTTCAACCCCAGTGACAGGTGCTATCATTACACCCTGGTCACAGACGAGGAAACTGAGAATCAATGAAAGTCACAAGTGACACAAGATCTATG